CTTGCTTACAGCTAGCAAGGTTGAGACAAGACCAAATGACAATGTAACAGATAAAATATTTATTTACAACATAATAATCTAATATTGTAACATTCCAAGCTAACCTATTTCTCTTTTTTTTGTTATGTTAGCATCCACAATGAATAGTTATTTACTAAGTAGGATAGAGCCACCGAGTTGGATTCTCTTAGTTTAAAGACCAGTGTTGTTGTGCAACACATTTCAAACAATATAAATCATTGTACAACTGCTAGACTCAGCTAAATGTGGATTTTGGGGATTTTAAGTTTCAGCTGATGGTTTCGAAGGCATACCAAGCTAACATTTTCCAAATGTGCAAAAACATCCAGTAAAACACAGCCACAAAGCTGGTGAAGCAGTGCTTTTAAGAAAAAAAGTATAACAGTCCATACATTCAACTCCAACCCATTAAAGAGAGGATTTAAGGTTATAATGTATGAGAAGAAACTGTACTAACAAAATCGTTGTGAAAGGTTGAGCTAAAGTTTTTGAACCAAACCACGATTACTGTCAACAAGTTTTGTGTTAAGGACAGTGTAACAGGGGAACATTTTGTCATGAATTACATAAGGTGAAAAGTGCCAAATATATGTTTGTGAAAACAGTTCATTTGAGATATGCACACAATTAAACGGTACGATGAGTCATGACCAACGGCTAAAACAAACAACTATGCAAAAAGTTTATAGTTACAAATTAAAGACTTCATAATTTCATATGCAAAGCAATTGTGCATTTAAAAAAAGTAGACAAAAATAATTTTAATTCAAAATAAAATACAACCAGACATTAATGTTTGGAATTATTTGTTCATCCGTAGCAATGTAAGGTCTACAAATGAAGTTACTGAAAATGAGGGTTTAATGTAAACATTGCATTTTTTCCTTACTGCAATGAAGGCAAACAGACAAGGAAGCATGCACAATTAATAAAGTGTGAATATGCATTAAGCAAACTGTTGGTATACATACGAGTATTCAACCCTTGTATGGTGTTCGGGTCTGTGGGACCTGTTTCATTATTTTAGCCTAGAAGAAAAATGAAATGATAAATTATGTTTTTTCCAAACCCACACTCAATGGCCTTGGCTCATTTTCTGTGAAGCACAACATCTATCAGAACCCCCCCCCCCGCATTTTACATTACATACGGGTGTTCGGGATAAATGTAAAGGCAAAAAAATTAACCATATGCTGTTTATATTGCTTGTAATTGAGATGAAATAAACATCTACTGATTATTTTAACATAAGATATTTGCGAATTTGTGTTGAATTGAAGCCCCAAAAAGGCAGTTGGTCCACCAGAACCACAAACACTGGCTGGAGTTCAACACAGATATAACACCACACAAGGGTTAAGATGTACTTACAAATACAAATAAGCTGTACATTTACTGGCATTTAAGGTAAAAGAGATCATCTACATTCGCAAAGAATGACATGTGCAGTCCAAAATCTACGAATATCAAATATAGTCCTAAACAAAAGAGAATATATAGGTTCATTATTATAAGGACTTGTTATTTTCTCAGCCTTGCAAGGACAAACGTCATTTAAACTTTAAAGTAAAAGTAGCACCAAAATAACTCTTTTTCTAATTTTAGTCAATGTTAAAACCAAATAATGAGAAGGATTTAACGATTGGAGGTATGAGGAAAATTCTATTGCAATAAAGTTTTGAAAAGGTTCGAGGTATCCTTGGAACACATATCGTATATTCATAATGTAATAAAAAGGATAGCAACAAGAAAAGTGATTAAGGAGATTAAATGTGGCACACATGTCTGCATGAATTTAGCTCTGTTTTCCTTAGAATGCACACATGTTTTGACGAGATACATGTAAGACCAGACGATAAATAAACCATGAAATACGTAAATGAGTATCGTAATGTATGCAACTATGTTGTTAACCAAAGTGTCAGCTGGGAAACATGCAAGTTTAACAATAATCCAATTCACACAGAATAGTCTGGTAATATGTGGGCTGCATAACTGTAATCTAGACGTTAGAATAATATTTGTGCCGATAATGCAGAAAGGTGTTAACCAGGAAAAGCAGACCAACAGAACAACTCTTTGCTTTGACATTATAGAGTTGTACTGCAGGGGGCGACATATAGCCACATATCTGTCGTATGCCATGACTGCAAGAATGGACAGATCACTGCAGGCAAATGAGTACATCACCAGAGCCTGAATAAGGCATCCAGAATAAGAGATAACATGAACAGGAGAAAGCAGATCCCAGAGAAACTTTGGGTAGAAACCTGTTGTCCCATAAAGTCCATTCATGCAAAATGTGCACAGTAGAATATACATTGGTTCATGCAGGTTTTTGTCCAAGATGACAGTCACAATCAGAGAAACATTTACCAGCACAATAAAACAGTAACACAGTAAAGTGAGAGCAAAGATATAAGCTTGGTAGTTTTCTGTTTCATTAAAACCTGAAAGAACAAACATAGTTATGAGAGAGACATTATCCATCAGAAAATGTTGTTGAACAAATAATGTTGTTCCTTCCCCTGTGTTGTCTACCCCCATCCTTAGAGAGAGAAAAGAGCCACCTGATTGTACTTTGTGTCATTTAAACTTATTTAGAAAACATAATTTGTTCACCTGCTCAGTGTACCTCCATCAGTAACAAAGTGTCTGACTCTGTTCCCTCCTCTCACAGTTATTAATAATTAGTCTGACTACAACTTCACATGAGCTGAAATTCAAACCAGCCAATCAATGATCTGAATGAGCTTTCCTATGTCTTTCTGCTTGCTGTATGAGCAATGCAAAAAAAAAATAATGGAAAAAAAATAAACAAGTCCCGCTGCTGAAAACTGAGCTTGGGACGCTTCAGTGCGCATGTAACATAGAGATTCATTGTGGAACGTGTAGATTTGGACCCCGTACTTTTTAATATAATTTATGATAATGAAAGTGATGACGGCATCAAATGAGGTGGCGCTAGCCTAAAGTTTGACACCTGTGACCTAGATCCTGCAGTGTACCCCAACGTCCTTTTGATTCTTGTCGGTGAATATGAGGGAAAAGTTTATTATTTTAATGCTAATACATTTTATGGGCTTTTCCCCATCCCCATCAGCTTTCAATATTGACACACAGCTCCAGTCTCATACCGTTGCTAACCATAAACTGTGTATGTTGCTAACAAGCAGTGGTGAACAAATTACTCAGATCTTGCACTTGAGTAAAAGTAAAAGTACCAGTGTAGGAATACTCTGTTACAAGTCAAAGTCCTGCAATCAAAATGTTACTCAAGTAAACTTAGAAAAGTATTGCCTTCCAAACATATTAAAAGTACCAAAAGTAAAAGTAGTCATTATGCGGATCAATTTCAGAATAATATATATTATATGTTTTTTTTAATTATTATTATTCATCCATTAAAGTGTTCTCAAAGCTGGTAAAGGTGCAGCTAGTTTTAATAACGTTGTATAAAGCAGGGTTGCTTGTGAATTTACTCAGGTGTAACCAAAGTCTGATTTAAGACTTGATTATATTTCACATTATCAAACCAAAGTTGCAAAGTAACTAAAGGTATTACATAAATGTAGTGGGGTAAAAGTACAAAGTAGCAACAAATAGAAATACTCAAGTAAAGTTAAAGTAGCTAAACATTTTACTTAAGTACAGTACTTGAGTAAATGTACTTAGTTACTTTGCACCACTGCTAACAAGCACATTTTCCATAAATGGAAAGTGAATACGTGCTGTAGATTTAGCCCCCTTAAACCTCCATTCTGTAACACAGGGGTGTCAAACTCAAGGCCCGTGGGCCAAATCCTGCCCCGACTTCATTTTATTTGGCCCGCAAGAGCTATGCATAAAATAGAATACGTTTATTATATGGTTTCATGCACTTTACAGAAGCACAATGTCCAGAAACGACATGTCCCACAATGCATATCATTTTGTGACGCACTGAAGAGACTTGCAATTATTTGCAATTATTTGCCCTAGACTTCTGCTCTCAGACGTAGTTAATTATGAAGCTATATATATATATATTCTTAAAGTTACAACTGGCCCTTTGAGTGCAACCTTAATGCTGATGTGGCCCGCGATTAAATTGTGTTTGACACCCCTGCTGTAACACCTCTGTGTTGCCTGCATAACACAGAAAACATTTTTATTTCTCAAATCTTATTCCAATTATTGTCTCCTGATAAATAGGACTTGTAATATTTGGGTAATCAGTGTTACTGTACTTGTTTTACTGGGATTAAATTAAGGTATGAACTGTATATTTGAAATTGTGTAAGTGATTTTCTTGTAAATTATATTAAACAACGCATTTTATGGTTGACTTTTACCACAACAAGTTTTCTAAGCATTGGTTATAGTTTTGTCATCTGTGAACCCAAGATTCTTTAAAATTATTGTTAGAGTCAAATTATTTAAACGATTAAGAACACTGATGCATATAAACTATAAGGTGGAATGAAAAACATTAATATGCAAGTAACTCGATTTTACATTTTATGTTTTAGTACTGTATATCTCCTGCTCTTTCATCTTTACAGAGATTCATTTTTATTTTGAAAAGTATGTTTGCTAAGATGAAGTAATACCCAGCTTATATGATTTACATTACAAACAAAACAACTGCATATCATTTTGTTTCATGTAGTTTATTGGATAATATGACATTTTACAGAAGAAAAAGCTCATACACATTACAGTAAATATATCAGTTAGTAACATTAATAATCATTCATCAGATAAATGTTTTCCTTAACATCAGATCTTTAAAAATAACATTTACAAATCAATTGTAACATGAACCATCCAGTCATCATGGCAAAAGTGATTGCTGAATAATATTTATAATAAGAATGTGTTATAAACAAACAATTTAAAGGGGATACATACATCATGTGAGAGGAATACAAGGTAATTTCTGTCTCAACATGCAGAAGCAGTCCTGTTATACAACATCAACAATAATCTACCTCGTCAACTAACAATTTGTAACATACACATTTCACAAATAAATGTAGACTCAAAAACATTTCATTTTTAAATCAAAACAATGCATTCATTTATTTTCAATGTATTATATCTCAGTTTGACGGCTTGCCTCTGATATGAAAAGTCATGACATGACACTTTGCATCTCTCTTTTTAAAACAAATTAACTTCAAGATTTTGTTGCGAACCTTGGTCAGTTGGAAACCATATATAAATGGATTCACAAATGGAGGAATAAGCAGAAATTGTATTGCCATGAAATTATAGAAGTTTTGAGAGAACTCAACTTTCCCAAATCTCATGTACATTACATCTAAAAGCACAGCTGTGGCAAAAATGATTAGAGAGATTAAATGTGGCATGCATGTCTGTATAAACTTCCCCCATTTTCTGGAGGATATGCACGTTCTTATCAAATACATGTAAGACCAAACAATAAACACGAAATGTGCAAAATAGAATAAAATGTTAAAATATGCGATTGCAGAATTTGCTTTCGGAGGCGAGCAAGCAAGAGTAACTATCATCCAGTTGACACAATAGATCCTTTTTATGTGTGATCCACATAAACGTATTCCTAATAAGGATGCTGAGTTCATGAACATAAGGAGAAGAGGAAAAAACCAAGATAAAAGAACAAAGAGTGAGACTCTCTGTCTGGTCATAACTGAATGGTAAACAAGCGGTCGACATATTGCCACATATCTGTCATATGCCATCAAAGCTAAGATAGAAAAATCACAGCAAGATGAGGAGTGTATCACATAACCTTGAAGCATGCAACCAGCATAGGAAATTACATGAGATGACAGAAGATCCAGAAGAAACTTTGGGTAAAACCCGACAGTTCCATACAGAGCACTAATGCAGAGATTACACAAAAATATATACATAGGCTCATGGAGGTTTTTATCCATAATAATAGCAACAATAAGAGCAACATTTCCAAAAATGATCATAAGATACCACAGTAAAGTCAAGCAGAAGAGGGTAATTCTTTCTTCAAATGTAAAATATAAACCTGAAAGAGTAAACACTGTGGCAGAAGAAACATTTTCAAACATCTTCAATTTGTTGTGATTTCTCAAACCCATTTCACCACATATATTTAGAATTAAATTCAAACGACACAGTTACCAGTAGTTTGCAGAGAGCTGAGTATCCAAGGCTGTGTGGCCAAAAGAAGTGACAGTTAAATGTGGCGGCACCAAACGATTTATCTGTTTTGTCAAAAACAAAAACAGCCTTGAGAATGCAACCGGCCATTCACTGAGCTGTTGAGGCGACCAAAGGTGGGACCAAATATGCAAATATATTACTGTGGACTTTTGGCTAAAATAAATAATAACTAAAAAAGAAAAACAATGTGGTTATGTAAATTACTGAATACCTATTTATTTCATCCTTCACACAAACTAAAGGTTACCTGTAATGAAGGTAAATTAGTCTCCTTGGAAATATGTTTTAAAGGTTTCGAATGAAATGTGATGACAACAGGTGTCACGGTTTGTGAAACAAGGCAGTCTGCGGGACCTCCAACGACACTTGAGTGGGTTGGTTCGCCAACAGAACTTGGGGAGCTGGCGTCGGACGGACAGCCAACAGGAGACGAGGTGCTGGAGTCGGCCGGTATGCTGACAGGACATGGGGAGCTGGCGTCGGACGGACAGCCCACAGGAGACGAGGTGCTGGAGTCGGCCGGTAAGCCGACAGGACTCGAGGAGCTGGCGTCGGCCGATGAGTCAGCAGGTGACGAGGAGCCGGAACCATGGCTGTAAGGTCCGGTTCTGGGGCCGGAACCATGGCTCTTAGCTTGGCCTTGCGACTCCTCCTCTTAGCAGCCGCCTGAATACTCCGTGGACCTCCATAAGCCAGACGAGTTCCAGAATATGACTCCTGGACGGGAGCAGGAACTGGGGCAGAAGCACAGGCTGACTGCAGACGGAACCCACCAAGGCGTATGGTGCCAGGTTGGGAATTGGGAGGCCGGGAGCTAGCATGCCTGGGGCTAGCAGGCCGGGAATCACACACAGGGAGGATCTTTGAGCCTCCCGCTGCTGAACTCCGGGTGCTCTCTTCCATCTATCCGAGCAGTTAGCCAAAAAAAAGGAAACATTTAATAATTCCGACTCGAACGGATCTGCTGGGCCCATTTCTTGGTCGGTTCGTACTGTCACGGTTTGTGAAACAAGCAGGACCCAAATGCAGATATAAACTGAAACTTCCTTTATTTCAAGGCTATGATATATATAGACAATGGCAAAACAGAACACTCACCGCAGAACTAGTTAGGGAACAAGACGAACCGACCAAGACAGACAGAAAACCCAGAACTTAAATACACACAAGACCAATCACACAACAAGACACAGGTGAGGAGGGAGGAGAAAACACAGGGGCCCAGGTGAACATAATCAGACCATTAGACACACCAGAGAAACTAATGACAAGAGGAAAACACAGGGAAAAGGACCAGACAATAACCCAAAGGAAAACATGACATGGAAAACAGCAAAAGCACCCAAACCTACAAAACTATAAATGTGACATAACATGAGAATCGTGACATCCCTCCCACAGCAGTCCTGATGCAGGTAGGCTGAGTGTAAATCACCGCGACCAGTCTGTCATTGGTGGTAGACCTTTTCAGTAAGTTGTTCAAACAAAGAATATGTTAGACATGTCTTTACTTCTCTAGGTTATTGATCTGCCGAGTTTTGGACCAACGTTTCTTTTTTTTTTTTATTATTTATTTATTTGGGGTCACATTATAGTACAAGTACAGTTTTTCAAATCATATATTTTTAGAGACCCGAAAGTGACAAATGAAATAGCAAGCAAAATTAATCAAAGTAAAATAAAAACGAAAAAGTACACAGGGGTTGTTTGAAATAGCAAATGTCTACACAT